ACAACTGAAAAAAGTAGGGAAAGCAGGAAATTTAAACTTCAAAAATAAAAGTTGAATATGTATTTATATCCACATTTTGCATTATTTTCTGCATTTCTTTCACTGTAGCCCAATTCTAAAAGCTATGAGAATAGATGGAAAGGCAGGGTAAAGAGGTTTGTAACTACACAGCATCAGGTCTACTACGTACTAGGACCACAATGAAGGAAATGAGCATCACTGGTACTAGGACCACAATGAAGGAAATAAAGAGCAAGCACAAGACTAGATTTATAAACTCACACTGAGGCCACATGACTCTGCTCTTACAGATCCAATAAATATTAAAGTAATAGAATATATCTAACAAAAAGCAAATGAGAAAGAAAACAGATGAAAATAAAACTTTTAAAATATATAAACATAAACTTGGTTGAGTTTTGCTTTCTGGATCTGTAAGATAAGACATGACCCAATTGGGTATTTGTGAGATGAAGGAAGGATGCCCATGGGCACTGGCACAGTGACTTCCTATGTTTACATAAACACTCTCTCATTAGCTTTGGTAACACAGAGCACTCACAATTTCATTGGCTAGCAATCAAGATTTCTAAGACTTTATCTAGTCCAAAAGGACAGATTTTGTGAATAAGTATTATTTTATGAATATAAATGAACAGTATAGGACTCCCTACAAGAAGGAAATAAAGTACTTATAGGATTTGAAATGCTTTTGAAGAATAAGAAAGATCTGAACAAATTTCAATAGACAAAGGAAAATATTAGTAAAATGAGAAAATGAAGAAATTTACTAATGAACAATGTTCATTCATGTCAGAAAATGTTATTTGAGTTCATATTATTTTAGAAAAATAGACTGACTATAGTTTATTTGGAGAAGGAGCTTGGAAATAAGGTTGAAAACAAGGTTGGATTCTGCAGAGAACCCAATGTCATGTACAGTAACCCTGCCAGATTCGTAGATTATTACACATGGTTTTGATCAAGTGTCATCAAAAAATAATTTAAAAAAATCAAAAGAAATTTCAAAACAATTTTTAAAATTACTATGTGCATCAGTTGATGCTGAGGCTTTCAGTCAGTTCTGCCTTATCGTCAGTTGTGTTTCAATCCTTGTGTGACCAGCTGAGTCCCTGCAAATAATTTTGTGAAAATCTGCTTCCCAAAAAGCCAATGGTGCCCCCAAAGCAAATAAACATTACTGTGCTTACTTTACGTTAATAAGGGGAAATTTTTAGATTTGTTGAAAGTGGCATGTATTTAGTGGAAGTTGGACAGTGTCATGAGAAAACTGAATCAAGCATCTGCAGTATAGGACTAAGCTCTATGCATGCATCCCAAGTATTCCTCAGCAGAGGTCTCCTTAGAACCATCGGCCTAAGAATACCAAGGATCTAACGTATAGGGAGATTCTATCGGTAGTAGTGGTTCTCAAAGTATTTTGACCTTGGTCCTTGTTTGTACTCTTTTTACAACACAAGAATACAAAATGTCATTCCATTAGCTATTAGTGATAGCATTACCATGCATTGTGTAGCCTCTGAAAAAACTCTATACTTGTGATAGAATGAAAATGAAAGAAAACCAACATTGTAACATTCTTACAAAATTCAGGCTTTTTAAATAAATTTTTATTAGGATATATTCATTTATACAGAGGGGATTGATAGTGAAAATTCTGATTAGACTTATATTATAAATTATTTACTTATCTCCCATTGTTTCTCCCCCTAAGCACCATCCCCACTCCACTTAAAGCAATTGCATATTGCTGTTTCATACAGGTATTTGAAGTCCATCGACCATATACGGTCACCTTAACCTCCTTCATTCACTCTCCCCCTTCCCACACACACTGCACCTATTTATAGTCCTCGTTTCCATTATTAATATTTAAGTTGATGTTCAAAGGGTTATCTCAATTTATGCCCACTATGGATGTGCTTTACTTTGGTCTGTTCAATCCCTTCAATTGCTCACCCTTACCCATTTACCTCCCACCCCCATTTTTCAACCACTTTCAATATACATCCTTATATCCTCTACATTTACATCTTATGTGATGTGATATTACTGATGCTCTATCAGTCTCTTTTCCTTTCCTTCTTTCCCCAAGTTCCACAGCAAGTTTCCACTGTTGCAAACATGCTCTACATCTAAGTTTCTTTATGATCATGCTTGTTTTGTGTATATGTTAGCTTTGATTTATCGTCCTCATAAGAGAGGAAACGTGCAGCTTTTGTGTTTCTGATCCTGGCTAATTTCACTCAACATGATGTCCTCCAATTGCATGCATTTACCGTCAAACCACATGTCATTATTCCTTATGTCTGAGTAATACTCCATTGTGTATATATACACCACAATTTCTTGAGCCATTCATCAGTTGCAAGGCATCTGGGTTGTTTCCAGAGTGTGGCCTATTGTGAATAGTCCTGCAATGAACATTGGTGTCTCTATTGTATCCTGCCTTACGTTCTTTAGGATAGTGCCCAGAAGCACTATCACTGGATCATATGGCAGCTCTATCTCTAGTATAAAAAGCAGTTTTGATGTTGTAAAACCCCTTCAATTCATCTCAGGAAACCCTGGACACGTTGGACCACATTTCAAGAGCTGCTGCTCTACAGCAATAGAAATGAGAAGTCAATGAAGGTGTTTTAAAAAATGAATTTGTTAATGAAATGCAGAAAGAATAAGAAGGGAGACATGCGGGGAAGAACACTGGATGTGGAGCAATAATGAGATAAGAATGTCCCAAACAATCTAACTTAGTGCTTACAGAAAATGCCTTAAGGCTAGATTTGCAACCAAGAAGTAAGGAAATAAACCATCTTTAGCCTTTTTCATCTTCCCTAGAACTGTCTGTACAAAGTAGGATGCAAAACCCATTTCTTTAGGTAAGATACTGTAGATTCTGTCTCAATATCTAGAATGACTCCAATTTTAGGACATTATATTTTGAATGAAGATAATCCGGCAAGTGCCAACATTTCTTTAATATGTATGCCTTCTAAAAACATTATCAAAGTGAAAAATCACACTCTAAAAATTATTTATTGATCTGACATGTGGTTTTGAGATAATCTCTTTAATTACATGTCTAATTAACCATAAAAGCTAATATTAAAACCAGTCACAGATAATATTACATGTATGGAAAAATGAACAAACTTAAAATTCTAATTTGCCCATAAGTTTAGAAGCTATTCAGAATATTAAACTATGGTATATATAATATCTATAAAATTTCCTTCTCTTTATGGTGCATGCTGAAAATTTTAAACATGATTCTGTTCATTGTGATAAGTCTGTAAGTTATATGAACAGGATCCACATTTTCAATAGAAAAAATATAATTGTTACTCTTGCTTATCAAATGATAATTCTCTACATTCTGTAACAAAATCAAATTCAGAATGTTTCAATGAAAAGGCTGGATAGTAGCCAACTCACATTTCAAGAAGATATTAAAATTTTGTTTATATATCAGACTTGAGAAAGCCCTTCTAATTAAAGGGCACTTTAATCAGTTATTAAAATATCTTTGGGCAAAGGCTGGTTAAATAATGAAGGGAAACCCATTTTTTTTCAACTAATTATAGTGAATATAACTATTAATTTTAAGAAAAATAAATTTGGAATAAGATTCTATTAAGATTTTGTGAGGGGGAAAGGGAGGGGGCAGAGTGGGTGGTAAGGGAGGGGTGGGGGCAGGGGGGAGAAATGACCCAAGCCTTCTATGCACATATGAATAATAAAAAAAAAAAGATTTTGTGAAAAAAACGAATACGCTAGCAATAACTCTGAAAAGAACAGCTATATTTTTAAAATATACTGCACTGTTAGTAAAGGAAAATTAATCTTTTTAAAGTAAGGTACCTGTAAATTCAATAATAAAAATGTTAGGGAATAAATTTTCAGTAAGGCAGAGGAATAAAGTGGTAGTATGAACCTTTGCAGATTTAATACTGCACACAATTTTAAAATTTAAAGACATAATACCTAAGGGTGAAAGAAGCCAGAGGAGACCTTAATATCAAAACTATAAATGGGACCTGCAGTCCTAGGAGTTTGAGACTAGCCTGGGCAACGTCTCAAAATCAAAACAAACAAAAAAGCCTGTAACTGGAAGAGGTATGAACTGCCAGTTTGCTGATTATTGGCTCAAGTATACAATCCAACATCCATGACTGGTTGCAAAAACCACAGCCTCACTTTTGAAAATAGCCAAAAATCAGAATTCACAGCTTGAAGTTTCAAGTGAAATGCCCAAAAATGTCCATCCATTGCTTCAAAAGTTGTAACATCTATTCTCCACCAAATTCATCTGACTCGTCCCATTAATATTTGGTTATCTATTATTTTACTTTTTAAAAACACTATGGACACAACCTTATTTACATGACACTTTCATTAATGATAAGCTAATTGCAGCCCTAATATATACTTTTCTTATTTAGTCATAAGATCTTTCAGTGAAAGAACTATATCTTAAACTTTTTATCATCATTCATATCACCTAATATACAGTGTTATTGACAGTACATAATTTAATAAGTTCTCATTGACAAAATAATGACTAAAAATCTTTATTATATGTTAAGCTATACTTTTAAAATGGTTTAGAATACTAGTGGGATTATTTCAAGATCTACATATTCCCTCCTTTAAAAATTTAAGTATAGTCATATGTATATTCTATTGTTTTAAAATATGTACTGTCGATAGATTTAAAATTTATGCTTAAACCCTAAAAATATTCAAAATGCAGTAAGAATCACAGAAATAAGAAAGAATACCATAGGACAAAGAACCAGCAAAACTCCTTTTGTAGTGTAGAGATGCAACAAACAGTAACATGGTTATAATTGAAAAAAAGTTCATCATGGCTTTTTAATTATTTATTATAATCTCTTAAGATGTAGTTATTTAATAAATTTCACAATTACCCCAAAAAAGGGTACCATTAAACAAAAATGTTTACGTAAACTACATACCTGAGTTCGCAAAATTTCATTTTTTGATAACTGCATATCACCAGTCAGTTCTTTCACAACGATGCCCAGTGGCTCCAGACGTTTGCTAAAGTAATTTGTCATTTCAGCTGCCAAGGCTTTCATTGGAGCAACATACACAATCTGTACCAAAGGAACACTAGTGATGAATAAGGAAAAACTACATTGTCATTTGTTTCATAGTAGCCAACACAAGTCATGATTTATTGTAAAGTAAGTTTCTAGCTACTTTCTGTGAATAATGTTAATAGTGGTGTATGAAAAGTACTTATCTTTGGTGGATAAGTGTGCAGCTATTTAAAGGACAATGGAATATTTTATACAAGTCTTATCACTTTAAAAATTGGTTCTGATTCAAAGAGAAATGCATTTCTATACCTTTTCACAGGTAATAGGATTTTCATAACACAAACAGGGAGTGCTGTATTCTTTACATGATTTCAAAAACAATAAACATCCTTAAGACCTTCCAGATTTCATGCAGCTACAGGCTTATATTAATTTTTATGATTTAAATTGCTATTGTCTAGCTTGTTATTTCCTACCTTGAATTCATTCTTTTTGATAACACCTTGTTGCAAATGTTGGCGAATTTCATGCAAGACTGTGAGCATTGCAATGTTGGTCTTTCCAGCTCCAGTAGGGGCGCAGATCAGCATGTTTTCATTGGTGTTATAGGCCGTCTCAAACACTATTGACTGGATTCTATTGAGTCTCTTCATTCCTTTAAAAGCTAACTGTCCAATCTAAAAAAAAAAAAAAAGAAAAAAAAGCATTAATTTCTGTAAATGATTTTATAGGCTTATATCAAATACTAAATAGAAACATCAGTTCTCTTTAGGTCAAAACACTTATTTGTTCAGTTTCTTAATACATTCCTTGTGTGCAGCAGCTGACAAACAATTACAACATTTGTCCAATGTTAATGCATTTGGAAACTGCAACTGACTGGATATGAAAAACATGAGGCTACCCCTGCAACTTCATACACAATCCTGAAGTACAAAATAATGATAAATAATGTATGAAAATACAATTAAATACAGATTTTTTAAAGATCAAATAAACATAAATTTCATGGTGATGTTCTAGTTTATTTAAACTAAAGATGATGTTCTGTTCATTTAGATTAAAGAAGACTAATGAAAGAGCAAAGACAGTGGTGCACATCTGTAATCCCAGCACTCAGGAAGATTGCAAGTTCAAGGCCAACATGGGCTATGTAAACCTAAAAAAAAAAATCTTTCTCAAAAAGCCTTAAAAACAATCAAGAAATTTCCTGACACATTAGGAAATCAACAGGAAATTCCATTTCAATATTTTGAATTTTTTTTCAATATTTCAATATTTAATGGATAAAAACTTTTAAAATGGCAGCAGGAACGGTAAATACAGATTACACTTTACAAAGAGTTTATACTGGACATTACAGCAATTTTAAAAAGTTATTACATAATGACAAAAATTAAATTAATCAATAGTTTATAACAGTCCCAAGTGTTTATATGTTTAACAACAGATCTTCAAAATGCATGACACAAGACGAGCAGATAAGCAATGGAAAATACACAAATTCACCATTACATTAAAATTTTCAATACTTGACCCCAACACTTTTTGAACAAGTGGTCATGACAACCAGCAGGTTTCAAGGGTCCTATTAACAACCTGAGCATACTGACATTTATTCACTAACAACAGGAGAACACTCATTCTCTGCACACCCTTTCCCCAGGTGCTTTTGGAAAATTTATCAAGACATGCCACATACTGGGCCATAAAAGAACTCACGATAAATAAAAAAGAAGAAAATCTTATAAAATGCTCTCTGATCACAATGAAATTAAATTAAGCATCCTCAACAGAAAGACACAAATACACATTGAGCATCCCTAATCCAAATATCTGAACAACTCCCAAATCCTAAACTGTTTTTTTTCCTTTGCTTTACATTATTTTTCAAATAGAGTCTTAAATTTTTGTTTATCTAGGGCTGGCCTGGATTGAGATCTTCCTACATAAGAGTTCCCACATAGCTGGAAGGAAAGGCACACCCATGAACCCGGCTTATTTGTTGAGATGGAGCCTCCAAACTTTTTGTCAGGGTTGGCTTCAAACCGTGATCCTCTATCTCCACCTCCTATGTAGCTGGAGTTATAAGCATGAGCTACTGTGCTGGGCCCAAATTCCAAACACTCTGAATGCCAACGTAAGTACAAAATTTTACACTTTGTTTCATATAAAAATTATTTAACATATTGAATAAAATTACCTTCAGGTTATGTGTTAAAGAAGAACATGAAACAAATAAATTTTGTGCTTAGACTTGCATCCCATCCTCCAAGATATCCCCTTATATATGTGCAAAAATTCCAAAATCCAGAAGAGAAATCTGATTTACTTCTTTGGTTCAAAGAATCTTGAAAAAGAGATATTCAATCAAAATTTGAAACTAAGTAACAAACTTCCTAGGTAATCCAGTGAGGAAAAAAAGAAATTAAATGGGGAATTAAAAAGTATTTATAACAAAAGGAAAATGACAATATGATAAAACAGAAATTGTTGATGTTGGGGAAGCAATATTTAGGGGAAATCTTCTAACACTAACTATATTAAAAATATGGAAAATGTCAAATGAATGACAACATCACCCTTGAAAGAAAAAGAGAACATCAAAACCAACTAAATTGAATAAAGTCATAGAAATCAATGAAACAGAAAAGGCTGATACTTTTAAATTAATAAAATTGATAATTCTCAAGCCAGACAGATGAGGAAAAAGAGAAAACACCATTTGTAATGTCCAGAATGAGAAAGGCAGCATTATTGCAGGTGCCACAGATATTAAAAGAATAAGAAGATACTATGAATCACTTTATGCCAATAAGTACATTGCTCAAATGAAATGGATGTAAACAAGTTGATAAACTGCACTTAAACAAAATGAAAAAAAACCTATGACTTTTCAATACATTGGTAAGAAAATAAAATGAGAAGTCATAGAATGTTATTATAATCTTTGCAAAATATAAAGTACTTGTATGTAGAACATATAAAGTAGTTCCTAAATACAGTAAGAAAACAATTTAACTTTAAAAACTGGCAAAGATTTGAACATTTTGTCAAAGAAGATAGATAGATGGTAAATAAGAACACACGACATCATTAGTCATTAGGGAAATGATAGGTGAAATCACAAGGAGGTAACAATTTATGCTTATCAAAATGGCTACAATTTTTTAAGGTGGCAAAAATTTTTAAAATCAAAATTAAAAACAAACTGCAATACTCTTCATGTCTTTTTTTGTGACAGTATCATGCTGTTTTTATAGGCAAGTTTGGTGAGGATATCCAGGAACTGTAATTACACATAGTGCTGGTAGATATACAAAACAGTAAAAATACTGTGTAAAACAATCTGGCAATTTTTAAGCAGTTAAACAAACAAAGACCAAACATATGATCCAGTCATATCCCTTCCAGGATTTATTAAAAAAAAAAACATGTACACAAATGTTCACAGCAGATTTTTCTTTTATAGTGTAAAATAGGAAACAATTGCTACATCTTCAGTAGATGAATGGATAAAAAAAGTTTATATTCATAAAATAACATGCTACACAGCAAAAACAAGAAAAGAATTGAGACATTAAGTTATAAATAGACCTCAAAATAAGTATGTTGATTGAAAGAAGTCAGATCAAACAAGAATGCCTAGTGCATCCCTGCACTGATATAAAAATCTAGAATATGCAAACTGATTCACAGTGACAGAAGATTAGTTGATGCATAGGGATTGTGACAGATAGGGTGAGGCAGGAGTGGGAAGGATTGAAAGAGGGCAAAAAGCACCTGTTGGAAGTGATGGTTAAGGATGGCCACTGTTTTGATTGAGTTGATGGTTTCAAATGCTAAACTTATCAAATTATCACTTTTATTATTATACTATTATATGACAATTATACCTCAATAAGTTTATTTTTAAATAATAAAAATTGGTATAGAAACCTAACAAGTACATCCACTTGTGCTTTCATTTAGACCAAGGACTTAAAAAGAAATCAGAGTAATATCTTCTAAGCCTAGAAACCTAGGCAGGCCAATTATATATCTGAGACTATTAATGATACTTTATCAATTTCTACTGATTATTCTGTATTGGACTTATACACTGTAACTTTTCAGGATGCTGGGCTTTAAGACAGAGGCTCAGGTTAAAACAGTGGCTTTGCCACTATCTGTGATATAACATTCAGAAACTAAAGACTTCTAAATTCTGTCTTCATCTGCAAGATATCACATAATGAAATTATAATGATTAATAAATATAGCTAACAGCTATACAGTGCTAATTATGTGCCATCCACAGGATATGTCCTTTACATGAATTATCCTAATTATTTCTAACAACCACACCAGGTTATTTGATAGATGAGGAAACAGAGACTTCAAGACTTGTTTAAATTTACACAGTATTTGAAGTCATATAGAGTAGCTTCAGAATCAAGGGCAAACACAATAAGGGGATTGGACTTTGAGCACATGATAAAAGCAAGAGCACACAAGGGAGGGGTGAGGATAGGTAAGACACCTAAAAAATTAGCTAGCATTTGTTGCCCTTAACGCAGAGAAACTAAAGCAGATACCTTAAAAGCAACTGAGGTCAATAGGAAAAAGGGACCAGGAACTAGAGAAAAGGTTAGATCAAAAAGAATTAACCTAGAAGGTAACACACACACACAGGAAATTAATGTGAGTCAACTCCCTGTATAGCTATCCTTATCTCAACCAGCAAAAACACTTGTTCCTTCCTAAAAAATAAAAATAAATAAATAAATATGCTGAAAGAATTTAATACTATCAGTCTTATGTCATCTTCGTTTTTATATATGCTTACTATAGTAGTACTGTGAATGAATGCTGTTGTTTCTAAATAGTCTTTAGAGACTCGTATCAAAATGTATACTATTACTAAATTACAAATCTGATCAAGTCACAGACTAGCTAACAATTTTTTGAAGTTTTTTTCTCATTCTTGATTTTAACACACATGGTATGCAGCTATACGAGTATGTAGTACAGAGGACTCTGGACATGTGAGCCCTGGTTACTGTCTCCCATTGCCACCATCAATATACACTATAGTGTATATACAATATGCACTACATATACAATACACCAATATTCTCTGAACATTCTTTTGTACTTTAGACTATTTTGTAAGCCTTTCTCAACCCAAAGAAATGCTTCATTATCGTTTGAATTTAAGCTCAAAAGAAACCCTGGTTCTCTCCAATTCCCTGAGCAATTATTATATTTACTTCTTTATACTTCTGCATAGTTCAAAAGCTTAAAGAACTTACACTTTCCTCAGCAGCTAGACATTCAAATCACCCTCATTATATATTATCATTGCAACCCTAACCATAAATATTGGAACAATTCTTTATCTCTGGCCCATTGAATCGAAACCAAAGATTCTGTTTTATTACTCTTTGTATTACCCCAGAACCTAATCAATTGTCAGGAACATAACAGGTTGCTAAATAATTTTTTATTGAATGATTATATGCTGGCTACTTGCAAAAAGTATTTTACTTAAATAAGAAGGAAAGTCTTAAAAAGACATGCACCATATATATAATATCCACCCTAAGACAGTAAACTGAATCTAATCAAAACATGTAGCAGTTCTGCCAAAAAAAACCCTGTATTTGACTTTTAATAACTTACATTTTGCTTCTTG